TGAGGTAAAAAATGAGAAGGCCAACACAAACGAGGCGTCCATTCTTGTTCAGGGCCATCATGTGAAGTAAATTGCATAAAACAGTTTTGGGCTTGCATGATCGCAATCTTAGGAGCAACAGCACCAGTGGCCGGGGTTTCAGTTTCCGTGAGAACGAGCGGCATTGGCCAATGCAGATAGCACTGGATGGTGGGTGCCCGGCGCCCGAGAACAGCCGCCGTGAAGAAATGCTCCAACAATCTCTTAAAAATCAATGCGTACCATTGAGAAACTGGACTGTCGCGTATCTTCAGCTTAAACAATTTTGAGCTTATGCTCTGGAGGGAGAAACAGGGACAACAGCACAAAAACAGAGATTCTATATTTACTTGTCTAGTTTTACCACCAAATCCTTGCAGCGGTTCACGATGCAATGAATGCAAGTCCGTTTATACTATAAATATAAAATTGCTCACGTGAAACATACTCTCGGAATACCTTCCAAGCGATTCATTTGACGTCCGAATGCGTTCAAAGGTAACTCCTCCAGAAGCGTTGTCATTTTCGTCCGCCCGTTGGTCACTGTCTAGTGTCAGACACAAGCACGAGCGGCACGCCCTCTGGAGACTGCAACGCCGAGCGTAGGTGGTTTCGCTTGAGTTGATTTTTCTGCCTTTTTCCTGTATACTGCATGTTTTGTTATAAGACCGGCGCGCAAGGCCAAAACTGGGTTATGTAATTCTCCTCCTACTTGATTCTGAACAAATTCGGGCATTTTGACAACAAAACAGGCTGATGTGGATGCAAATTTACGACCTCAGTTCGATCTAAATCTACGTTTATGATGACTCTGTACAGCCCGGAAAATTCCGGCACAGCACCCGAGTGCTATCGACTTAGAAGGAGTCCATAGAAACATTGTAAATTGAATAACGCCGGTGTGTTTCCTTCAGTTTATTTACTTCAAACACATGACAGCATTGTATCTATTGATGAATCCTGGTTTTAAAGAAGGGCCTCCACTCAAAATCATGTGGGCCATATCCAATTACTGCTATTTTTGGTGGGGGCCTTTCCCCAGGGTAAAGGTTGTATAGCCTTGCGTCCCATGCCCAATTACCAAGACTCTGGCTGTGTCCCAGCGTCGGTACGCTCACTGAGCGCCGAGTACGCGTACGTATCATCGCATGGTAATTGAAAAACCAGGCAACTAGCAATACTGTTACAATCAACCTAAATTACGCAATACATTAATATGGCAGGTGTTTCATTTTTCACACACTGGAAGTGAAACGAATCACAGCTGCTTTCCCTTCAGAGTTGTAAAAGCTCGGAACAGTGTCCCCCAGACGAATGGCTGGCTTTACATTTTGTGTTAACACCTGCTCGGGTGGGGGTCAAATTGACCACCCCGAGGATATTTCCGGCACGGTTTCCGAACGGCGCGGCATAGCGGCGCCAAGTTTGGCGTACCAATAGATAATTGAATAGCAGATCATGTGGCATCAAAAAATTAGATGTACTTTGCAAGATCGTTGGCCTAAGGCAGGTCAAAGTCGCGCTATCGATTTAGCGGAGTCGACTTCTGAGGATTTGTTCAATCTGATAAAATATCGGAGTGTTAGAAGAATCCATGCATGTGAAAGATTTCCTTAGGTAACACACCAAATAAATGAACAAATTCTATTGACCTAGGATCAGACGTGAGGGTCAGGCCAAGGTCAAAACCAACCTGTTTCATTGCTCCAGAGCCTGCTGTGTGGGGTAGTTTCTGGTGCGCCTTTTAAATTTATTGATAATGGGAACCGCATAGAACACTTTCCATGGAATTCTTAAAGGTCAAAACAGGTCACTGACCTGGAATAACCCAAGTCAACATTTGGTTTTTAGAAGCATACTGCTTGGCGTAACCTTTGTCGCTGATTTATATACAAAACTCAGGGCAGTCTTCCTTGATTTTGGCAACCGTGACCTTAGAAACGTCAAGCAAGGTAACTTAAGTTGAACGAGCATGCAACTTTTTACTCAGAGGAGGTATCTAGATTCTGGGCATGCTTTGAAGACGATTTTGAAGTTTTACCTTGTTTGACCTTATTCGGCACGAAGTTCATGACCTAGGGACCTTAAACTCTGACCCAAGCGAGTTTACGTACGGGCCAACACGCCCTATGAACATGGTCTCTTTAGCTCTCTTTTGGATTAAGAGATCTCGGTGGTCAACTTGACCCCCACCCGAGCAAAGGGTATTCAACCGGCGGTCCGGGCGCGTGTTAATCAAAAAGAGCAGGAAAAGTACATTTTTAACAGAAGGGCAACTGCCTAAGCATGTTTGCAGTAATGTTAAAAATATTGTTCTTAAACTGTACGTGAAGTAAACATTAACGGTATTTCACGTGAAATTGCTTACATTAATGTTCACCAAAATGCATACGTTTTATTAATGAAATTTCGGTGTCTTGGGAACCCGCGTATAAATGGATTATGATAGCCAAATATAGTGTGAACACTGGACGCGTTATTCTTTTGAGCGAAAGAATCAGCACACAAATTCCCAAGCACGTAATGGCAAAGTATGCATAACTTTAATTTCCAGTTTGCAAGAGAGCTGTAACCACAATTCCTTCAGCTTCACGGAACAGGTGCTTTTATAAAAAGCAGATGCAATCTGTGTGGCTTCGGTGCATGATTGCTGTGGCTAAGCACATGAGTTGTAAAGGATATCTAAGCATATTATACACACACATACGTATATATATATATATATATATATATATATACGTATATGTATATACATAAATGATATCCAAAACATCAGGCACGAGATCCGAGAAGGTCTTAACTCTGTCCCCTTATGACGACGACTTCCACGAATCTAGCCCTCATCCCCCCCCCACACAAACATTTTCAGAAATCGACACCCATGAGGGGCATTATCCTGTATACGCATGATCAAGCGTCTTGACAGAGCTGTTGCCATGCCAGTTATGTAGCAGCCCTTAATCTGTGTTCGGTTTTTGGAGCTCACAGCATACAATGACATTTTTCAGTTATTTGTCGTCATTTGGACTGTTTTCATGGTGACGTTGCACACTTGTTTTGTCTTGTAGTATGTCAAGAGTTGGATAAGGTCCTCGTTGTAAATGCTAGCGACGCTGTTTTTAATGATCTCGCGAAGACCCGTCCACCGAATTCGCCTGACGAAGAGAATGCATCCCACTCACACTTTATCTGAAGAAAATGCGCGTGCATGTAATATGATGAATGTAGGAAATAACACCGTTTAGACATGCCAAACGTAACTAAATAATTGATACATTGGGAGGGGGAACGCTACGGGTAGTGAGTTTGGGAGCAGGAGTTTCCGGGGGCCTACTGGACAAAATGGGATCTTCTTCACAGGGGGGGGGGGGGGGGGGGGACTCCTCAGCAGTGTGGTATTCAGCGGGGAGCGGCACCGAGGGCATGTGCTCTCTTACCAAACTGCTACATGCATCATATCAAAGAAAGTCAATGTCGACAGATAAAAGATTCTGAATGGGGCCTTTTAATTCGCCAGCAAACGGTCTTACAACCAACAGCAGGGTGCCAAGTCCCAAGAAAAGAGCCTCCTGATGCATAGAGGGAGCCCATTTTTGAGAATGGGGTGCTTGCGATTAACGAGTGGGCTTCGAGTATAGCCAAGGAGCCTCCTCACCCCAACGCAAAGCATCGTGATCCGAAACCGCAGCCACCTGATGCATGAAATGGGCTTTTTGTGCTAGGAATACTCCATCATATGCATAAAACGAGCATCCTGAATAAAAAGAGCGGTTTAACACGGAACATGGGCCTCCTCGTTTGTAACTGCCCCCCCCCCCCCCCCCTGTATCGTAGCAGGGTCCAACGAAGGTTACCATGCAGCGCGTCTAACATCAGTTCCTCCACACCACCTAAAACATTGCATGTTTGTTCGTCGCGATAGCTCGGTTTGTTAGAGCGCCTTTATTCCCTTGACTACTCGAGACGGTTAAGTCTGCTGCCAAGTCGGGAGCGATGAACGAGGAGGCAGAACACTGCTTCCTTGCCACCTGGTGTATCTGCGAAGCTGGAGAGCTTGACAAGCATTTGTAAATATATCCAGGCAAGTAAGCAACAACTACCCAAAGACATTTGTGCCATGCAAACGCAACGTGTATATGACGAAAAGAAGAAATGGTGGTACGTTGGTTGGACCTTAGACCTTCAATAACTGTGGACATCTCCGCAATCGTATCTCCATCGACGTCGTCATAATGGTCCGCGTATTCATACGTGGGAGGGTAGAATGTTTTACGGCATGGTCTGGCGTCGTGCGCAGATCGGCAAGCAGAAGCCGGCCAGACTCCTGTGAAGTTAGAATCTTCGGCACGGCGGCAGGAGCCGTGAAATCTCGTACTTCAATCAGGCGTGTGACTGTACCCAGAATGGTTTCAAGGTGAACGAAAAATGCATCCGACATAGATCAACACAACGCCGAAATTGGCCCGTTTAAATAAACAATTTTTAGGTTGCGTGAAAGATCCCTTCTCAGTGATGCGTACATGACCAAGCTGGTGAATGTATCATAACTTGCCGGAGATTTTCCAGCGCGCATGTGCGTTGTTAACTCATGCAACACTGGCAGGACTAAATAACCCAGTGTTGATGCAGCCCAGATGGCTTAGTGATGCACTCGAACGCGATGGCAGATCGTGCTGCTGTCTTTCAGACGCGACGAAGCGACTTCACGTCACAACTAACTAGGTCTATAACTGACTAGGTCCACCGACTAGGTCACAGCTACTACCAACTGGATCCACAAGAGTACTTATTTCCACAGATGGGTAATCCCAAATAAAAAATTGTACACACTCGATAGCATTCACATATTGCCGACCGATTTCCATATTTTGTCCACTCAACTTGCAGCATACGTTCTCTTTAAGTACACCGGTCTAACAAGTCTGATCACTATCTGTTCAGTCTAGCCAGTCTCACCGGCGTTCAGTTGACTAAATACTTACACGGAATGCGGTGAGTGAATCGGCGTGGGTAGACTCCCAATAATATGACAGCGGTGGTGGTGAGAACGGCTGCGATCGCCTCTTCTTCCTGGCCGGCGGGGGTGATGGAAAGCCGCGAGGGGACGGCGGCCCGCCTGGCACACACCACAGAGTAACGTCACCCACACGTGTAATGCGTGTTAGTGACGTCGCATATGACCTGGCGACGCTGATCGAGTTGCTGACGTTGTTTATGCTCCAGACTTATCGGGAGCGTGTTTGACGGCAATAACATACGCCTGATGAAAAATAGAAACACGACTGACGTCTGATGAATCCAGATTGTTCGTAGAAAGTGTGAATAAATGATACTGACAATTTATATGAGTAGTATTATGTTTCTAAATTTGGTTAAGTCATTGGATAGCCTTTACCGCATTATGAACATAGCATAACAATACCTAATTCAAGCAACTGTACGACCCAGACCGGGTCCGACTATTTTCGTTCAAACCAAGGCTCTGCATTACAGTGTTTGACCTTGCAGCAACGATGTCGGTCATCGGTCGTCACAAATCTCAAGTTCTAAAATGTAAGTAAAGACGGACTTAAACCTGGCCTGAGCATAAGGGCTGCTCGATACACCGACCTCAAACACGTAATGCCATGCCAAAGACGAACCAAAGATAACGACAAAAAAGGTCACTACAGTGCGTGACGCACTAATGATTGAAGCCATAAACGCAACGATGCATGTACGCGAACCGTCTAGCTTACTGTTCAAGGTCCGGTCGCTGGAAAATTTGAACGCGAGGATCATCCGAAATGGGCGGCGATGGCGCCGACGGTGGTCCATCTGTGGGCCATGCAGCAAGCAGCCTTACAAGCGGTCAACAGCTGGCATGTCCACACTGCGAAGTTAATGTAGCATCTCGGTCAACTATCATATGCTGCGATGCATATAGGTGATATGTGCGTTTGACCAACACCATGGCATGTGTGCCACAGACGTGCAAAGTTTCTCCTCTTGCAGTCGGAAATAATCAACAGCACCGCCATTTCAAAGATGTAATAGGTCTGAACCGAGAGGTTTTACTTGCGGCGCTATTTCAGTTGTAAGACGTGTGCTGAGATATTGGAGGAAGCGCAGACGAAAAGGGATCTCTTATTACTACATTACCACCGCAGCGTACACGGGGAAAGGGGGCCTGTCCCAATTAAGCGGTCACCAAAACATTCAGTCTTAGTCCGAATGTCCATCTGCAGATTCCGTTCGATCAAGAGGCAGCGAACTAGCCGACCCACAATGATCATAAACACTTCTACAGCACCACGCAGCGCAGGTTAAAATACATCACGTGCATGAGGGAGCGCTCCACATTCGAACATATTACAGGTTGCATGAGATGTAATACAGTAATATCACCTTTAACTATTATTATGCTTCGAAATGGAAGAACCATTATAAACAACATACTTTCTCTACTTAGTACATATTCCCTTCAACACGGCACTGTTTGATTACGCCATGGAACGTTTAAATAACGTTAGAGGTGCTGACAAACTGGCCGTGCAAATTGGCAGCCTACTTCTCACCTTTAGCACTTCAACTTGCCGAGAGTTGGCGGTGGCCGTGCTGTCGTGTTTACTAAAGTAAATATAAGTATGAACTGGTGTATTGACCCTCTTTCGTGGCGTTCTTCCACATTCTTGCTGAGTTTAAGTTGTTTGCTTGTACTCACTTACTCGGTTATCGCATTAATATCAAGTTATTCTATTGGAAGCCCTATTTCTATAATGGCTATTGTTCACACCCAACTTCTTGAATTTTGTACCGCAAAACGTAAGTCGTGCTTAAAACTTGCACCGTCTGCACAACATTGATGCTAATTAATGTCCGTTTTACCTGGAAGCGGTGCTCACGAAGGCCAGACCTGAACGACTCGACGATTACATTCTTCTTGAATTTGAACGTCTCACCCACAATGGGGTGGGGGTATTTAAATGGTATTTATGTGGCGTTATGTACGCCTGATTTACCCTAAAATAGTCTGCACGAAATACTCTGTATAACTTCACGAGGGCGTAGCTCAGAAGCTAGTGTGTTTTCTGTCTTAAGAACGAGGGGTTGCAAATTGTACCGAATGATCTTAAGATGGCTATTTCGGTTCAAAACCCTACTCAAATGTGAAACACTCCCTTTAGGCAGTCACGGTTAGCACATGTCCATACCTTTTTTCGCCTTTCACGTATATGCGATATGGCTCTCCACAAGTAATGGCTACATTGCAAGCATTTCAAGAAAGTCTTGGACCGTGCCTCGCCTCATGTTTTTGTGTTCCTCTCATGTGGTTGTCTCTTTACATGGCTTCGCGCCCCTCTTCACGGGTATGTGCCCCTCCCCATGGTTGTATATGCTCCCTTATCGGTTTGTGCCCCTCCTCATGGCTTTGCTTCCCCTTCTTGAGGATATCCCGTATGCGCTCCAGAAAGTATCCATGTAAATGCCACGCGTCTTGCCCGAAAAACAGCGTGCGCTCCGATGCGGCATTGCAAATTGTCTGAGTCGCACTGACTGAACTCACATTTGGCCCTGCAGTACTCATCGTCGTTGATCCTAACGATGTCATCACTCGAGATGAGAAATCGAAGGCTCTTATAGATGCCAGACAGCGTGATCTTGTTCTCATCGCCGAGTAGACTCACCGATTTGTCAACCACATCAGCAAACAGATTTCAACGTGATATAACACCACACATTCACCTATCGATTTATTTCATCGCGCATTCACCTATTCATTTTTTATCACGCATTCAAATACGCGAAGTAGAAAATGCGATATTTTATGCTATAAATCAAAAGTTGCACACGTGGAAAGGAACGGTTCTCCTTTCCAACAGTGGGAATGCTCAAAACAAGGGTAAACAAGTTACTAAGTCTGCATGAAGTGTCGCCTGACGATATACATCTCCACCCAACAGCGTCTGTTGGACATTGTTATGGGCTGGGTGATCATAGTTATATAATCAATCATAGGCCCACGGACATATCAGTTTCGTTACGCTTTCAGAACTGATCTTCTCACTCGAGGTATTCATCCTATCATGAGAAAATCCGTGAGCCAAGCTGTCTTAAGCGTGTAGTCACATGTTGCATGGTAGCACATATGAATATGGTCACTTCTGATGTAAAGCACTGCTCATAAACGAACATGCATATGCAGGGACGGTGCATGGTGTGGTCGCTTCAGTACGATGGAGCCAGGTACATGAGAAAATAAAAGAAAATGGGACTCTAAAAAAGAAAAGGCTGGGCAGATAGCACTTAGTTAACGAGCTTAAAAATTGGTCCAAACGACAGTGAAATGATGTGTATCATGAGTTAATGCATGGCGAATGGTCAAATATATGTGGAGTCACTGATGCCTGGATCATTCACAATGGTTTATGACGTCATTCTCTGACTTGATGACGTGGTGAGGGACGTCATTCTCCGGCTTGATGACGGTGGTTACTCACATAAATCGTACAAAACCGCCATCAACTTGGCCTCTAGGTAAAGTGGTGGCCGGGAGTACTGAATGTTGAGAGGGAAATACGGACAAACGGAGACGATGAGTCACCCATAAACGGAGCGTATGCACCGCTCACCAAGAGCCACCTGTTACCCCGTGGACGGAAAGTACTCGCAACTCGCCGAGAGCTGACTGTTACCCCATGGGCGGAGTGCACCCACCACTCACTGTAAGAAGGCTGTCACCCCGGGGACGGAGAGTACCCACCACTCACCGAGTCCACAAAGCGAGCCGGGAGCAGCCGTCAACGTCAGATGCACGGTGTCCCGTGGCTGGACGCGGTCAGGCGACCAGCGCAGCGACACCTGGTTGTCCAGACAGTGCTTCGCAGCGTACGACTGGCTGTCCGCGATCACCTCGCCATCAATCACCATGTAGACCAGAACATGGAAGCCCGAGGACATGGATGACGTCACTGGGATCGTGAGCGCCACCTGACCTGTTGACGCAGACCGGTTGGTGTTTCCCTGCTGCCCGTGGCTCACCGGTTACATGGATAACAGCTGGCTGATGACAGTATGCCAGACGCACAAACTGTTACGGGGCTGACATCTTGGTACCGACACGTGCAAACTCCAAAATGGCCATAGTTTTCTCACTCCTCAGTCATGCGCGGCATGATCAGCTGCGTGGTGTCATCGCCACTCCTTCAGCTATAATGTCCGTTATGTACCGTGTACTGTTATGTACTGTTCTGGGCCAGGCGCTTCATATGCGGCGGTGCTTGACTGTGTTGGACGCAGTGCGTGACGCTGTAACGGCGCAGAGCGATTTCCATAGCGAGTGCAGCAAAATCGTGCATCAACAAAACACTAAACTCAAGCCAGCTCTTAAACTACACGCTATGTACCACAAACCGCCCAGCGTCAGGGACATATCTTCAACCGCTCCGTCTATCGTGACACTGATTAGGCGACCCAGCCGCACCAGCCGGTGACGCCTCTCTCACCGACGGGGTGTGGCCCGGACACCGTGGGCAGGTCAACAACCCTGCCCTCCTGCAGTGCAGAAGCGTCGACCGCCTCGGAAAACGTCACCGGCACTAAGTCCGCCAGCAAGATGTCGCTGTTGGCCATGACCTGACGCGCCCGGCGAACACAAGGTCAACACGCTTCTCCGACTGCAGGCCTCGGTCTTGCTTCGCGAGTTGCAACAGCATGACCGCTAAAGGCACGTCTTCAAACAGTAGCAGGAGGATAAGACTGTCCCCTTATAAAGCATAGCTACGACTGACGCTATTAAATAACGACGCCTGGAGTCTTAGCTTTTTTTAAATTGCAAATACCAGAACACTATGTCTGAGGCCTGATCCGAGTCTGAATGACATGAAGACGTTTCCCATTCACAGCACTACCCGTGCGTTCAGTCCTCTACAAGGAAAGTGCCTTATTTTACCTCCCGTGCAGCATGACTTCTTTATTTGTAATTTTCGAATGTTGTCTGTACAGTACACTCTAAATGTAGCTCACCTGGTAAAACAGCTCGAACTGCGATCCCAGACGGGTCGTGAAGAAGACGTCAATGTGGGCCTCAGCGCCGCACGTGAACTCCTTGCGGGGCAGCCGAAGCAGCTGCACAAAGGCTCCTGACTCAGAGGACCAGCCCGTGATGTCGTAATTGAGACTGGACGATTTTGGCGTCGTGGCCTGCAGCGCCAGAGTAACCGGGCTGACATTCCATGGAAGTCTGACCGCGAGGTGGGCACGAGTAGCCGGTTGGTTACCCACACGTTAACGGTCACTGGAATGTCGCTCTCGCAGTGGTTAGATTTTACTGACTTTACATCACTGGCATGAAAGTGGTGCCTCTTTTAGTGCATGTGACCGACGAATGGTCAATAAGATACCGCAAGGTACGACGTCTTCAAGCCTGAGACCTTTCCACGATGCTATACAGATATAGACTGAACGGCACTGTTATTCAGAACTAAGGGAAAAGGAGCAATATCGCATTTCTCAGTTCGTAAAATGACACGTGCACGCACGCACGCGCGCAAGCACGCGCGCAAGCACGCACACAAGCCGGCACACACGCACGCACGCACACTCATCCACACACACATCACCCTTCGTATTACTACTACCGTCCTCATATTTCCCAGCTTACTGCATGACACTGAGCAAAGAAGAATGACTTCGAAAACTAGAAGAAGCACGTGCATTTTTGACCAGTTACCTGCTTTGTCCCAGCAAAGGGTTGAACAGGGGCATGTGCACGATTACATGATGAAGGAAAAGGGGAACAACTCAAAGATTTTGGCTGCTGACCTGGTCTAACGCGCCGCAGCCACACAACATTTGTTACATGGTTTGAAACAACAGCGCACATACACACTATGCTTGTGATTATGCCTCTGCTCCTGGTTGTTCAGCGTTGACATTTAGTTGCGCAGATATCAATGAATCACATGAGCGAGAGGCACAGGCCGCAGGAGCGCACCATGTGCGCACGTCCTTGGGGCCGATGTCAAACTGAGCCAATCAAACGGGAGGCCTTGATTCCATCACCCGTCTCTCCTCCGTCTCAGATAATGGACGCTTTAAAGGAGATTTCAATTACCTGAATGGATATCTTCTCAATTTCCTGATCTTGAGGTGGCACAGTGAACGCGACCACGCCTCTGCTGTCAGACGTGATGTTCAGACAGACCGGATCGGCAGAAGACCTCCAAACGTACCTTTGTGCAGAGATAGAGAGCATCACTCCTCGAGTTACTGGGAACTTCCCAGTCATTGGGAACTACACTCGCTTAACATGCGTATGTGCGACGTGACCAACGAATACGACATGCTTGGGTTGGATGCGGGGTCAAGTTGATCTCCTGATATATCTTAAAGTGAGAAAGTTAGTGACACCTAATATGCAGGATGGGTAAGCATGTGTGTAAATTCACTCGTGTAAAATTGTGAGGTCCCGTTATGAACTGCGAACCAGATGTGATCAACCATTGTCAAACTTCAGATCGGTGTCCAAGATGCCCTCAGACTCCTCACGAAAGCCCGCTTTAGCCAAAATACTTGTTTTAACAGGTGCTCGGGTGCGGTCAATTTGACCCCGAAGGTTTTCCCAGACTGGTTTCCGAACGGCGTGGCGCAGCCGCGCCAAATTGTGCATAACTGTAGACGATTGAAGAGCAGATCGTTTAGTATCAAATTTGGATGAAGTTTGTAAGGTCACTAGCCTGAGGCGCGTCACAGCTAGGCCATGTATTCAACGTGGTAAATTTCTAGCGAATCGTTCTGATATCTGATCTAATGATAACGATAATGGCTGTATTATCTGAGGCAACAAAGGAGTGTAAGACGCAGCCATACGTCCATGAGATACTTTCTTAGGCAGCACAACAATTGAAAGAACAACTTACATTAACCTTGGTTTAGGTATGAAGGCCAGATCAATGTAAAAACCCACCTGTTATTACTCTAGGACTTGCTATACGAGGTAGTATCTGGTGTCCATTTGAAATTTATTGATAACAAGAACCGCATAATGTACCCTCCATGGACTTTGTAAGTTCAAAATAGGTCATTGACATAAAACGACCCAGGTGAATATTTTTTTTGTTTAGGACCAAACTGCCTAGCGTAATCTTTGTCGTTTATCCAAATGCAAAAATCAAAGCATGATTGTATGATTTTGGCCACCATGACCTTCAAAAAGTCATGACAAGTCACTAACCTTAAATGAAGATGTTAGCTTTTCTTAGAACAGGCATCTAGGTTTCGAGGCACTTTTTAGACCAACCTTGAAGTTTGACCTTGTTTGACCTTACTTGACCCAAACATCATGACCTATGTACCTCAAATTTGATCTAAATGAGCTCTATACGGTCAAGGCAACCGAGCCAATGACCTTTCTTGACCTTCAGAAAGTAACAGTGACCGGAATCCTACGAGGCTGTTGTGATCTTTTAAGTTAAATATGCATCAGGTGTAACGTCGTAAGGAATTTAGCTAACACGAATGCGTTGGTGGAGGTCATTTTAGACCTGTGACTTCCTTAGATCTTCTTTGAGTCGAATAAGAGGCCTCATGACGTCTCTGTTACCGCAAATGGAAAGTGAGCGTCACAAACTACCGCAAGAGACAAGCTTTCAAGTATAAAAGGCACAAAACAGTTTTGTTTTGACATCGATATGACCTTCAAGCCCGACCTTAAGTCCATGGAGTTCATCGCTATTGTGAATTTACTTGTTTTATTGTCCAAAAAACCATCTCATGTGTATGCGAATTCGTCCAACACTCCTTTGTCGCATCAGATTGAACCATTCACCAGGACCTGCCTTCGCTGAGTGATGACCTAAATTTGACCTGGTGTAGGTCAGGTACCTGACAGCTTATCAATGCTTTTACACCGAACAATCGACTAGCAAATACCCTGCAGTTGCGCAAAGTATGACGCTGCTTTGTAACGCTGTTCAAAAGTCAGCCTAGAAAACCGTTCCGAGGTTAGGTTGACCACCACCCAAACCACGTCCTTTCTCTATTAAACACGTCTATTGTCTGTTATCTATATATCTGTACGTACCGAACACTAGAACTATCAGCTACTTCAAATTTCACGAGGACTGGAAGATGATTAGTTCATTTGCTTGTGCCGGTCATTTACATTTAGTAACTTTTATTTCAGCGATGGTCAAGCCTCATGTTAGATGTGGGTACTCCAGCCAAATTCCTAACCCCAACGATTGCTTGATATCCTCACCTCATCGGTTTTTTTTGGGACATCGGAGTTGGGTTATTTTCTGCAAGATAGCTTACAACACCCAAGCATCAATGCACTTCTTTTTGTGAAACTCTTGACAGGAGCACTGATAACGCTTAAAAGCACTCACGTGGTGCTGATTCCGTCCTCTGTCGTCGTCCAATGGGTCTCAAAACACAGCTGGACCAGCTCACCGGGAGCTGGTGTGCCGTCCGGGTGGCTTACCCTGATCTGAACGTGGAAGTAGACACAGCTGAGTTAGGGACGAAGCCAAGCACTTCCAACTACACTCGACACAGCTGCGGACGAGGGGAGGGGGGCTGACCCAGGATAAGGTCACAAGGTCCCATTTCGGGCGTTGAAATAATTGTGGTAAACAAGAGATCCAAGATATTTTGCGTTAGTATTGATACGGTTGCGGTATCTAATAACGCGCTGAGTCGCAATGCAGCACAAGATTCAACGGACCCCATCTGAGCACCGAGATCAACGTATCAATACCACAATTAAAAGAGTAGTCCTGCAGACCATTTACAAGCCTGCTGCAAGTTACGAGCACATTACATTCGAAAAGGGAAAGATAGAGAAGAGAGGAGTGCGAAGGCAAGAAAGAAACAGAAAAATAAATAAATTATGTTAAGAGAAAAGCTCGGACAGCGTAATTGCCGACCAACTAATCTTCTTTCGTGTTATCCCAATATTCTGGAGAGCCTAGCATTGAGAAAAATTTGCTCTTATAACAAATAAAACAAAATTATCTGTAGGAAACTGTGAGGACACAAAGACACCTAATCCAAATTGAGGTCGCACATGGCGCATCAATGTTAATGCATACTGAATATGAATGAATCAATCACGTGTCTGTGTATGAATGTCTCCCAATATTATAGCAATATTCCACATGCTGGTAATATGAAGTGCAAAGTTTATTGTGGCCCCGTCGGTGGCCTCTTGGCATGCTTCAACTGGCGTCTTAGCCACCGGAACCAACTGTTCGCTTCGGTGAAGGTCATTGAGAGCCCAAACCATCCCTGCTGGCTGCACTCAGGCTAAGGACAAAATACGATAATGCCATTTTCCACGCGGACAGTGTCTCTCTGCATGTCTCCATCCACATATCAGTGAGGAATCTAAACTTTTTTTTTACAACACGACCTCGATGCCTTCAAAACAACTTTGCATTCAGTGGGTTTGGCGCATACGCACCCAATCAATGAAGGGAAGTCCTGGCTTGAAATAATCGCTTTTCAAGAGGTCAATCTCGAGGTTCAGCTCCTGGTATGCTATGAGGAACGTCTTGGTCCCCTTGATCGTGACTTCAGTGCCATCCTCTGTGAGTTCGGCGGTGGCCTCCAGCCTGTAAGGCTTGTCGAATGTTTTTCCGAAGCCGAGGTCACTGCCGCTGACTCGAAACACGGCACAGTCGGCCCCGGACGTCTGTCAAAGCGTTCACTGGAGTCAGACGGAGCCGCACCAGTCAGTGGCCGTCTGGGGGACGTCTCAGCACGCAACACGGTCTCCACGGGTGGCCAACCAAGGCAGCTTTATATGACGCAGGTGCTGGTATGCTATGCATATTGCGGCATCCATGCATATCTTGCGCCACTTAAACAGAGGCGGATAGTTGACGGTACGTCATGAATTAAGGCGCTGGCGTAAAACTTAAAAAGTTTTAAAGCAAAAAAACCGATTGCTCACGTATTGTCGGTGAAAACAGGGTTATTTCAAAGACGTAAGAAGCATGTCCTGCCAAAACTGACAAGAATGTGGCATATATTGTTTTGCTCAATAGCATAAAGTGACTGCTTAAAGTGACTAGCCTAAAGCAAAGTGCCAAGCTTGAGCTAGGTAAATTTTAACTGACCGGACCTCATCTCACAGCGAGGGGTGACCCAAATGCTATGAATGCTGGCAAGGCTCCCTAAAGAATTCGAAGTATACTTAAGGTAGTCTTGCGGTCGACCCCAAAGCTTCTCAGTAAATTCTTGGGGATTCTTGAAGACCTTTAGATCTGGGAGGTCCCGAGATGTCAAGGACACAGTAACAGAAGGCTACTGGATACGATTATCCCTCTCTCTCTCTCTCTCCTCTCTCTCTCTCTCCTCTCTCCTCTCTCTCTCTGCTCTCGCTCTCTCTTCCCTCTCTCTCTCTCCTCTTCCTCTCCCTCTACTCTCTCTCCGTCTCTCTCTCTCTCCCTCCTCTCTCATCTCTCTCTCTCCTCTCTCTCCTCTCTCTTCTCTCCTCTCGATCTCTCTCTCTCTTCTCTCTCCTCTCTCTCGCCTCTCCCTCTCTCTCTCTTCCTCCTTCCCTCTCTCTCCTCCCTCTCTCTCTTCTCTATCTCTCTACATTTTGCATTTGTGATGGAGACCACGCTTGCACTTATGTGCCCCATCTCGGGTAACCTCCTAACCATGATCAAAACCAGAAGAAACACGAATCGTTGCATTCCCTTGCACCGGCTTGTCGCAGGTGTACCTAAAATGGTTGCAGTATTCTTACATCGAACCCTAATGTAAACAACTTTCGAAAAGCACTTCAGCTAATAGGACTAACAAAGACATGCATCTACAGACAGCACAATTATAGGACGAAGTTATCACCATTTAGATGTTTTGTAAACGCGGGAATCCATGTCACCACACATACGCCTCACACTAATGCGGTACGGCTCAGCAGCCGGTTCAGTGGGTCATCGGCACAGTATTCACAAAGGGGTAAACGAGTACGCATGACGCGAATGTCCACCCGTCAACGGCGTCCACAACACATCTCGGAACATGACACTTGGCACCCACCTTCCGCGCACCTTCAACGTCACTTCCTCGGCATCATACAGAATGAATGAAGGACCCTGGATGTTGACCTCGAACCTGGGCAGCACAAACTCCTCAACCTTGAATGGCTTTGTCACCCTACGCTCGCCGCTTGTCGCTACGTGTATGTTCCATTCACCCTGCAAACAACGAGGCGGGGAATAGACAGACTTTCAGACTTTTCAGACTTAGGGAACAGACTTTCGGGCCACCAGCCAGACGGCACAGGAGATCCCCCGCGGTGATATATCGACAGATTGTTACGCACTGAGCAGCCTTGCATGCTAATCCTGCAGTGACTGCATGGCCTGTCCGAGAGATAAAGCGTTTTGAGCCAAGCTGGAAGCAACCAAACCAAATACCAAATGTGGCATGGTTTAAGCATGTTTGACTGAAGTATTTGAGTAAAGATATTGATAGCCCCAAATACATGGAAACCTAAGCAGCATAGACCATGACTTCCTTTTTCTGCAATAGCATCTTACAGATGGTTTAAATCTATATTTAGTTATCAACACGAATGTTACAGGCCTTCAGTATACCAGGACATGCCGATTAATCAAAGGTTTTAACACGCCAGTGGAATGTATTGCAAACTCTGCACATGTTTATCCACCAAAGTACCTTTGTTGGCCGAACCATTGTCTTCCGATTCACCCATCCGTGGCGGAGGGTGATCGAGCTCCTGCCCCTGACCTGGAATTGCCCTTTTGGAGGGTGGGGTGGCTGCCCCTCCCCCTGCCTCTCCAACTCCCACTGGCGACACATCGCTGAAGGCAGAAAATCGCTTGCATGTGTAATTTCATGATTGCTTAAAATCCATTCCACTCGACGACATGTTCCGTTATCCTATAACGTCTGGCAGAGGGATATCAAGCACCAATGTTCCAGCGTAAAGGGAAAAAAGATGTGAGCGCCCTTAACTGTGTAATCATACTATGCAGTCGTTTTAAACATTACGTCACACATCAGGTTTTAAATACATTACGAACCAACAGAAGCTTGGCATCAATGTTGATACAGTCTTTGTGAACTACTGATTTCCTGGAAAATTCTGGAACAGAAATTCCATATCTGATATGAACTTGCTATGGACCGGTAGAAACTGAACATGCATATCAAAGTAATCACTCAGAGCACGCTGGCCTTTGAAGACCGCTGCTTACCGCGCGGAAGTCTACGCCTCTGTACGCTGATCGAGCATATATGCTATGCTGATCTTATCCATGTTTCAGTGACTTACGTCATGAGTCAGGTAAACGACGAAATGATTATACCTAATGTCTTGTCTTATCATATCGGCATGTCTCGCATAAATCACTGATTAGGCTTGGTGCAGTTACATCTTCACTAGTTTGAAGGAAGCGTGGCGACTTTCATGATCTCAGTGGCATTTAAAGCTCAATTACAGTACGTGAATCAAAATTTTCGGACTGTAGCATCATGCATGCCTCGGCCATCAGTTTCGTGTACTGAAGCATCTGGCCCATACAACATACTGTATCTGGAGTTGATCCGTCATCCAGGATTTGTAAACTTCTACTCTATCACTTTACGTACCTTCAGAATTACGGCTCGAATTACGATAGATTTAACCATGTACCGGCAAGTTCTAAAACCCTGTTGCTTAGCTAAGATATTTGTGGACTACATCCATTGCTAGCGGAAAACAATACTACGTAAAAATATGTAAGGAGCCGATACTTTATAGCAACCACATTCATCATATAATAGTGCGGCGAACTCGCATGCAACACCGAATATGGTTTATGAGTGGGCATCATGATTTCGAAACAGCTGTATTTAAACAAATATACAAACGAAAAACAGCGCAGCTCCGTTAATTTCTACCACAGCCCGTAACCGACAAGCGAGATGGTAAACACGAGTGGCACTTTGTATACATCATGACTCGCTCAAGCTCCTCCCCCCCCCCCCCCCCCCCGCCCACCCACCCGCATAGTAACCACGCTGTTCGCCGGACACGTTACGTCTGCACCTCTATCACTCACACTGGGTCACATAGGACTGGGTTCCTCGACCAGCTTCATCTCCAACTGTACCACTCACCACACTGTGTTCATCGGCCAGCCGCATTTCTCCAGCTGCACCACTTACCAGACTAGGTCCATCGGCCAGCTGCATCTCCAGCTGCACCACTCACCTGGCTGGGTTCATCGGCCAGCTGCATCTCCAGCTGCGCCACTCACCAGAATGGGCTCCTCTGTCCGCTGTAACCCCAGTTGCACCACTCACCAGACTGGGTTCCCCGGCCAGCTGCATCTCCAGCTGCACCAGCCCGCTCTGACCAGTCACATCTGTCCACTGCGCCACCCTCGTCCCGGCCGGCGATTCGATGTAAATCTGCGGCAACTGAAGACAGTGGGAAGAGAGAGTCAGCTCGACCAACTGGCTAGGCGACCGACGGACACTTGGATAGCGTAGTGGGATATGACACCAATAACGCACGGCTAGGGGATAATTAATTCAGTTACGCTAATGACCTTACTACCGGCATGCATTAACCAGGGGCATGAAGAAGTATGATCCTGCTTGCACTGCGCGTGTAAGAACCGCCAGGCCCCGCCAGTGTTCCGAGTTCATGGGACGGATATATATATATATATATATATATATATATATATATATATATATATATATATATATACATGTATGTAATGCGTTCTATTATGTTTAACCATGTTTAGCCAAGCCATGCAGATAGTTTCCCAGACAATGAAACAATTCAAGTCATAGTTAAGGCCAATTACACTAGGCCAGAGTTACGCATGTACGCCGGACCGAGGTCAAAATAGCTTGTTTTACTCGAAAGTTTGCTGTATGGGGTGGATTCTGCTGCTCCTGTTCATTTACCAATTACAGGAGAAACAGCAGCCGTTTTCCATGGACTTGTTAAAGGTCTGGTCAAGTCACTGACTTCAAATGTCTCAAGTCATTTTTTTCTAGGAACATACCACCTGGCGTAATTCCTGGCGTTTATTCCGATGAAAAAGAAGAAACAATGTTGTAGGTTTTCGCTCTCTTAGTTTTTGAGATTGGCCCCCGCCGGACCAAAGAGACTCTCTCTCTCTCTCTCTCTCTCTCTCTCTCTCTCTCTCTCTCTCTCTCTCTCTCTCTCTCTCTCTCTCTCTCTCTCTCTCTCTCTCTCTCTCTCTCTCTCTCTCTCTCTTCTCTCTCTCTCTCTCTCTCTCTCTCTCTCTCTCTCTCTCTCTCTCTCTCTCTCTCTCTCTCTTCCTCGGGCATTCAGCTTGATTTTCATGAGTTTTTGACTTTTGATAAACTGACAACACGTCTTTTCGACTACTTCAGAACAAGAAAAAGTCGCTTATGCCGGAGACGCCCGACCACACGGTGTGACTTACCGGCTCCGAAATCGGCCTCAGTTTCCCCGTTGACGGAGAGGACGCGGAAGCGGACCACCTGTCCCGGCTTGTACACGTACTTGTCTGTCTGAATGAAGACATGATCTTCAGGCGCGTTGTTCGAGCTGAAACGAGCGGTATTCTTCTGTGTTGCCAATGCTTTAATAATAACAAATTGTATTGCGGGCGAATGTATTTCGGTTCAATGTTTTAGACTTAATAATCGAATCCGGTACTTAAGTGCGCACACATCACGTTTGTGAGCCGGGTAGGCGGACATCAGAGTACGGCTACCATGCAAACCTAGCTTCACCTTCAAGACAACAGTTGCACTTAACGACAAACATCAAACACGCATGCTACACGATCGTCCATTGGTCACACACTATACACAGATGAACTCGTTATACGCTGTTACCAGCATTATGGTACTCTCCAGCCGTGTATACACCCGGCTGTGGTGTCAGATCTTCCTTTCAAATGAAATGTTGAATTTTCGCACCTTGTGTCACAAGAGGTTCTGTCTTTAGAAAAAGCCTTGTTTGTAGATTAACACGTGCACGGGTGGGGGGGCAAATTTTTCCCACCGAGGGTTTTCCTAAATGGTTTCCAAACGGCACGACGTAGCCCTGCCAAATTTGGACTGGCTGTAGAAATCTGAATAGTGGACTGTGTGGTATCCAAAAACTGGATGTACCTCGTAAAGCCGCTGACCTGAGGTAGGTCAATGTCAGATTATGAATTCAGCGAAGTCAATCTCAAGGGAATCGCTTAACATGATGAAATGACGGAGTGCTAGACGAAGCCATGCATCTCTGAGATAACTTCATAGGCAACATGACAATTGTATGACCAAATTAAATTGACCTAGGGTCAGATATGAAGGTCACACTAAGGCCAAAACCAATCTGTTTTATTACTCCAGGGCTTGCTGTTTGGTGTAGTTTTTAGTACATGATATGAACCGCATTAGACATCTTGCAGGGACTTCTTATAGGTCGGAATAGGTCACTGACCCAACACGACCCATGTCAATGTTTCGTTTTTAGGAACATACTGCCCAGCTTAATCGTTGCCGGTTATTTAAATGTATAACCTAAAGCAGTTTTCTGTGTTTAGGGTCACCATAATATTCGGATCAAGCAGTGTCACTGACCTTGAATGGGCATGCGATCTTTTGCGTAGAACAGGTATTTGAGTTCTGGGGACACTTTGGATAGCAACTTTGAGTTTGACGTTGTTTTGACCTTACTTGACCCAAATGTCACAACCTAGGAGACTGAAGCTTTGACTCAATTTAGTCCATGTACAGGCCAACACATCCTGTAAATTTGGTGGTCCTAGCTCTCTTAGTTCCTGAGATCTCAGGGGGCAAACTGACCCGTCACCCGAGCGAAGGTTTTCCAACCGGCCGTCCGGGAGCGTATTCAAGTGCATCAAACAACACATCGGCGTAGCTGTAGCCCCTATCATTTCTGCAATATACACGCTGATTTTTGACGAACGGAGAAACACGTACCAAATCATCCTTGGTAGGCCAAGACTTTACACCAAAAATGTGTTTCGCAGTGTTCATAAAGAACAATATGTTTATGTATCCACATATGCACTAAACAATTTGTACGACGCCTTCAGTACACTGTAGTGACTAGACACTTTCTTTGACTTACAAGACAGAGATGTACTGATTTCCCGAGATGGTGTAGTTGACGGCGGATGGGTAAGTAACTTCCAGACCCATCCACATGGTAAAATCGTCAAGCTCTGGTGTTTGAACCTCAAAGCATGTTTCCTTGGACCCACCTGAAATACGGCATCGTGTTAGCGACACGTGTATCTGAACACCGTAGGGAGGATGGGGGCTTAACGAAGCCATGCTATTGCGAGGAGCCGCCGGTTTCGCTCCAAGACGCTGAGCCGACTGATGGGTGGCGTGGCCAGGAAGCGCGCTCATGGAGACAGATGGTGTGGCTGGCCTCGTCGTCACCGGGTGGGTACATTCAGATCGGTCAGTGGTGACGATGTCAAGCACTTTGTCCACTCGCCGAGAGAGCGAGCAGCGACCGATGATCTCCGGTCCGGCTCGTACACTGCTGTGGTGTCATGTCCCCAGTTACAAGAAACAGGCATATGCACACGAGGCATTCCTTGCCAACACGCCGGCACTATCAACACGTGTGTTTACTGACTTTGAGCGTCAATGCATATCCTGGGGGTGCAGTTGCATATCTGAAGCTGTAAACAGTCGTTCATTATGATAACCATAATGCCCAAAAACATCAAGCACGCTTTCTGACTTGGTGGCCTGATTAGAGTGGTTGAGGGCGCTACATGTGCAGTGTCTCCCAATATAACATTATCCTTTCGCATGTCTCTAAGACGTTACAAGGGCGACCAAAGCTCTTCAACCCCTGTTATAACTTTTAGTGCTGCCTATCATAATGTTGTATTAATGCCGGCGAACGGATTACAATAGTTGCCAGGCGTTAAGAGATTGGCAGAGCATTTGCTAAAGGCGTTGATATACAGCCCGGTGTTGTGCCGGACACAAATATATCAGGCCGAATGCCACAAAGACAAAATCTTCACAGAAACTCTTACTGGTTACCTTGGTTTTCAGCTTTATTCTTGAACTGTGAGTGTGCACCGTGCACCCAGAATTGCCCTTTAATCAAGAAGACATATTGAGAAAGATCGACACGGCCGTAACTAGACTTCTCTCGCTGTTGAGACCAGTGCAAACGGCATCGGTACCCAGCTCAGACTAGATAGTGAGTGACAAGCTGTGGCCTCACACGTGGTCACGAGGTCCCTGGGCCGCCACACCCCGGCTCGGTACTCACCCGCCACGCCCGACACCTGCTGGGTGTGCTGTGCGAACGTCGGGCTACTCTCACTTCTCCTGAATGTCAGCGTCAGGTCGCCGGTCTCGGGCACGTCGAACAGGGTCAGACACACCCGCTCAGGCGTGCCGGCGAAGAAGGCATTGGGCGCTGTGAACAGGTACCGGCTGCAGCAGCGGACCAACGCTACTGTCAAAGCCGGAACAGCTGGCCAGACTTCTGTTGACATAGACGGGAGCGCTGATCTCCAAAAACCGCATGACGTCATGCACGATGCGTTTGGTGCAATCCTTGCGTTCCATTGGGCAGTTTCACAGTATTGTATGAGCAAAATAAAGAAACGGGTTCCCACCTAACAGACTGCATTGATTTATTGCACGTATTGCATTTTAAGGTTAGTGATCACAGCCTTGGTATTTCATTTTACCAAATGTTGGGATAACCCTTTTGTAGCAGCTCATGCGTGTAAAATATCATTTCACCTAGTCGTTTTATCACCAGGGAAAACATATTTGAACGAGGGCCAAAATATGATATTAACTTACGTGCAAGCAGTTAGGATGGGCAAATGATAGGACTGGAATGTGTTGAAATAGTTTCGGAAGGTGGTTGTTGCCGTGCGCGGAGGCTATGCAGCCCTCAAAACTAGCACTTGCTGATAATGGCACTGGTGGTGAAATGATACGGTTCTGAATCGTTCGAAACGCGTTCTGCCCTCAACTTTGATCTCCGGCAGAAATTGCAGCAGCGACCTCCATGCTGGAAAAATATTTTACCGGCCTTGTGCGGCGTTATTCACAAAGAGCTTTCAATAACGATACAGTCAATAGGGTTTCATTTCCGCACCACTTTGTCTAAACTTATTCCGAACCCCGAACGTTTTACTGCTAACCATGTGCCTTCATGCAATGCGCTTGGCAAACGAAAAGTTTTGCGTCATTCGCTTTGCCCGCTCGCCGACAACCTATGCGAGTTCGGCAGACATTTCACAAAATATCTTTGTTCAAACCAGACGTCATGGTCGTTGCACTTGCGTTACAAAACTAAACAACTATAACTATAATGCATGCAATATGCGATACCAAAATAAGAAAAACCCTCTACCTGAACAAAATTTTAGAATGATGCACTGTCATCCATTAAACGCATTATTGAGCAATCTTCGTTGTGTATGAATGTGATTATTTTCGCTTTTTTGCATTGCTTTGTTGGACAAAGCCAAACTTGGACGTACTCAGCTCAACGAATGCTGTCATATGCGAGCCAGAAATCCTTTTTTGCGATTCTTTACGATTCGGTTCTTCACAAAGGACCACCTGGTAAAGTAACCACGTTTGATGCAACTCATCGCATCATTGTACATAGCTGCCACCGTGGTGGCCTGGAAGAGGCTGTGTTCTTAATCTAGTGGCACCCGCCTTAGGTCTCAGGGCAGGCCCACTGTCTGGCCCGATCCACGAAGGTCAGTTGGCTGCTAGCCAGAGAAGGTCACCCTGACACGGCGCAGCCGCCCTGTTGACATTGCACGGCACGAGGAAATGCCTCGGTCGCCGTTTTGGCCCTCATGGTCTGCAGACCACTTGCATACCACATGCAAAAATATCCGCTGAATCTGAACCACTCTATGTGGGTGGATTGGGAGTGTGGTCACTGCGTTCGGCTCTGAATGCGCTCTGAGCTCAAAGGCACCTTTCCACATCACCTCAGAGCTTCCACACAATGAATTGCACAGAGCACCACCTGTGCGCTGTGCGAGTCATTCGATTGGCAATATCTTTTGCTTTTTTAATTCATCTATGCCCGACTCCTAGGCCCGGAAAGGCCACCGACATCGCCTGCCTAACGCCCTTTTTGTTACCAAACGGAAATAACGCGAGTGAAGTCGCATGCACCGCATGCAAGAATGCTGATTAAACCAAGACCCATGGCCATTCTTCGTCAGATCTATTCGGAGAATTCCATGGGGATGTGCCGATCTCTTTTCCGCACACCGACCGGCCGGGCCTCGAGGTGTCGGGCCTCAGGAACGTCTTTGGTCCTTCGTGTGCTGGCGAACTACTTCAGGAATCTGCACGCTCTGCATACTAGAAATTATCAGCCAAAAAGTAATCAACGGGGAGCCCGGGCGAGCACGTGCGGCCCCACGCGGACTCGCGCGCTCGCCGTCGCGTCTGCTGGATTCCGATGCCCGGCAAGGCCCCCCCCCTTTCCTCCTGGCCCCACCCCCTCCGACCGGAGACGATGGTCTCCACCGCAGCCGTCTGGTCGGTATCAGCGCTGCGGATGGGCAAGCAACAAACACCCCCTCCACCGCCGACCGGGCTGTGGTGGAGCGCTGGTGCTGGCTTGCCATTTATTGGGCACCGTTTAATGGATCAGGTTCCAGTTACACTGGCGACATTATTACGAGTAACAACACAGGCTGGTGAGTTGGGCCAACCAGATTGGGCTCTTATGGCATAAGCGAACCGTCAAAAGGTCGGCCAGCTAAGCTTTCCATGAGCTTGTAATCTATGCAACGTCTGATCGCAGCCCTCAGCAATGATTAGCGCAGCTATGATGTGCGTGCTGTAGCATTTCCAAAGTATTGGCCAGCAAGTCTTTAGGCAGCGCTGTCGTGCATTATTCCATGCCAGCAGATATTAATTTCTCGACAAACTCTATAAGCATGGAAAATATACCCCGATTTAGTTAAAAACAAGGGTGGAAAACAAGTGCAGGCATCGCCAAGACGAACACTCTGACCGAGCTGAAGACGGGCAAACGCATTGGCGAGTCTCGCGCAAAATATCAGGTACTCTCGCGCGCAAACTAGCAGGTACCATCGCGCGCAAACCGCGCACCTTCCAGTTTGGGGGCGTTTTTATCAACCGAAGTCAGATGCTGACGACCGGAAAGAATGAACACGTGAAACCAACGGTTTAATGTGCACGTCTTAAGCCAATGTACAGGCTACGAATCACATATCAATCTCAAAACTGTTCTCCACACAGGCGCGCCAGTGATCGACCCAAGAAACGGGCAGTAACACCTTTTTCCAGACAGGTCGTGAATAAGATTCACTGTGGTTTAAATCGAGAGGGATCCGGCCATATTAACTACGCGCGCTAAGCATGATTCTGACTTGTATCAGCCAAAAACAGCTGTGCTTGAGTAATGATTTGACCCCAACTTCCAAAACCAGAAGTCATTCAAAAATTAAACGAATTGCATCGATTAAAATTGCCAGGCCTTGGCAGCTAAAAACTAGCCAAGACACACTGATAGCAATACATTTTTGCACGGAAGTTATGCATCATTGCGTCTTTTTCCGCTAAGCTCATGGAGGAGAAACGTTTCAACGCATTAGTTGGTATGAATTCCCGAAGGGGACGGAGTCCATGCGCCTTTTGGGACATCCTCAGCGTGGTGATAACACTCATATTAGTCGCATCTCACGCGTACGACGCCGCAAAAGCGTCATACTAGTTAGTGGGTTCATCTGGTGTCGCCGCAATTTTGTGCTGTTTATCGAGTAATGATGGACCGCTAGCTCTGCTGTGTTGGTATTATCATGGCTGTATCCATACCTTGAACCGTGCTCAGTATAAGCGTGGCCAACATCATGTGCTGTGAGGAGTCCCCTATTGCGGTGCGTTCACCGTTCGCGTCTCTCGCCCAGGTGTCATGTCAGGCGCGTAGTACAATGCGCGTGACAAGTGCCCTACTTAGAGCGCGCTATCATATACTCAAACAAGCGGTTCCCCAAGTGCAGCTGGCACGAGGCCTTCTTCCACGCGGTCAGTGCAGATGAAACGTTTTCACAAGCATAGGAACGGCTACTGAAACCTCTTAAAAACTTCCACAAAAATGTATAAAAAACTCCAACGTGTCACACTTAGTTCAGAAAAATTACACGTGTAGTATTGAGCCCATCCCAATACACAGGAAATAATGCCCACTGGTTCACTTATCTTGTGCTTTGCTGAAAATATTTAGATCTCTGCTCACTTATAGCAATAGTGCATATCTACAGACGGCAGTGTGGTGTCACCTTATCCAGCCAAGCAAGTGTTGTTCCTGTCGTGACAAGGCAGCAAAGCGCATGCTGATTTGCACCCCAGATCACAGGATGGATTCTATGACAGCCCGAAAAAGCATGGCATGGAATGCTGTGAATGAATCAGTTTAAATGCACATACAAAAATGGCAAAACTTTCCTCGAGGCTTGAACCCGCGCAAATATTTTGCTACACTCCTGTCCAAATGTCCTGCTCTGATGATCGGCCCCGAGGGTGGAAGAAAGACATAGAGGGTTCGCTTACGGCTCGGCAGCCACTACACCACACAGGAGAAGCAGCCGGAGAGGCGTCATTGCCGCCCTCCTGCGACGACGGGGAGCCGTCCAGTGACGCTGCAGCGCCGCCGTCGCCTTGTTACCTCGCCAGACGGTAGGTGGCACTGGATAAGGGCGACCTCCGTCAATCTAGCAGCAGATTGATATCCAATTGCCAGTTGGATATTCCGGGATATCCGATTCCGGAATATCTAACTGGTGATTTTCGGAATCAGCGTGTCGAGAAGGTCATGCACACCAAATTTGGAGGCGATCGTGACGCCCCAGAATATCCAACTGGCAACTGGATATCAAGCTGCTGCTAGATTGACGGACGTTAAGGGCGGGGATACACCGGCGCAGCGCGTGTTCGGTATTTATGACGTTGTTACAAGACCGCCTGGCACCGCTCGCACGGTGACGTCAGTGGGCAGTGCGCAGCAGGATGTGCCAACGGGACAGCAGGAAAACCCGGGCGGCGTCTCTATTCATATACCAAAAAACATCCTCCGGCCTGTGCTTCCAGGAGACGAATTACCACAATCTCAACGTCAATAAAGCCGCGCCGTCCAGACATATCCAAGCTCTTAGTATGTGTACATTTACGCCCACCTTTGACCTGACCTTTCACGTCCTTATCCGTGAGCGTGTTTATGCAGTTTGGTCCCCAGCTGCAAGCACCAGTACATGGATGGCACGGCCAACATTGAAGCCAGAGAGCCATCCGGCTGAAGGTGGAGTCTAAATTCAACCACGGCGTTGACCATTATATCGATTTAGTGGTAAAGTCGGGATAGATTCGACCCATTCCTGTCCTTTGCGTTGGCCATTATATCGATTTAGTGGTAAGGTGGGGATTGATTCGACCCATTCCTGTCCTCTGAACCCGGCTTTAGAAGATATTTTCTCTGCTCTAGAGCTGGTCTCTACTGCATAAGTTGGCCAAGAATCTTGCTATTTCTGCGTTGTTTTCGTTGCGTTTTCTTTGACGTTTTCGTTTTGCGTTTCTTTCACTCTAAACGCAACTTTCTGAGGTGCCGCCCCTCCGCCTCCCGCCCGCCCACCAAACATGGGTTACGCGGCAAGAGGAAGGGCATCACTGTCACGGACTCAAAATCGGCCTAAGTCATTGATGCTGGCCTGGATGTCAACAGCATTGATGCTCCCCCGGATGTCGTCGACGGTATTGATACTCCCCCGGATGTCGTCGACGGTATTGATGCTCCCCCGGATGTCGTCGACGGTAGCGATGCTTACCTGGATGTCGTCGACGGTAGCGATACTGACCTGGATGTCAGCGACGGTAGTGATGTTCACCTGGATGTCGTCGACGGTATTGATGTTCCCCGGATGTCGTCGACGGTATTGATACTCTCCTGGATGTCATTGACGGTATTGATACTCCCCTGGATGTCATCGACGGTAGTGATGTTCCCCTGGATGTCGTCGACGGTAGCGATGCTTACCTGGATGTCGGCGACGGTAGTGATGTTCACCTGGATGTTATAGACGGTAGTGATGTTCATCTGGGTGTCGTCGACGGTGGCGATGCTTACCTTGATGTCGACGATGCTAGTGTCGCTAGCCCTGACGTGATTCCTATTTCAGCCCATGACCCCAGCACCCTCAGACCTCTCCTCTGGATCCCGCACCCCCGCCGTGGTGGCGTGACGTGATTCAACTGGACGTCATGCAGAAGCACAGGCAGAGGACATGTGCCCCGTGTACGTGTTTCGAAGAGCCCGTAGGGCTTCTCGGGACCTACGATTAACGGCCCAAAGACCGGCCGAGGTCGTATTCGGGGGCCCGGCCCGAAGGACTGGGCACGTCAATACCATCCACAGGGCCAACCGCGCTGATCAGGGGCCCGCTGGGTCAAAAAGGGCCCACATGTCGGTCAGGCACCACCAATAACGCATAGTCGGCTACGCGTCTGCATGGGCCTGTTGGCCAACTCGCCAAGCAGGGACGAAGCGAGAGCCAGACATTTAGATTGGTCGGGGCCCAGTGTCTATCAGGACCCCACAGCCCAATACGGGGTCCTGTGTTGGTAAGGTGCCCCGAGTCGGCCAGAGGCAGTGTTCAAGCAGGTCCGAATGGCTGGTGGGATCTTATTCAGGGATATCAGACCACGGGGACGGGCCCTCAGATGACAGACGAAGGGCCTTTGCGCCGATCGCGGACTCTCTGAGTCCATATGATCCTATATGACGGTCAGGCACCGCCTAATACCCGATCAAGTGCAAAGCCACGGCCAGCGATTTACACTGCTCGGGGGGCACCTGTATGTGCTAGGGGCCCGAAGTACCTAACACAGGGTCCTGTGTTCGCTAGGAGCCCCGAACCAACCAAGGTCAGTGTTTGATAAGGCCCGAAGAGAGGCCCGGGCAGCCCATTGGAACGGACGATCGATGGCTCGCTTGGAGAAGATAAGAGCCCGAAGGACTGGGTGTAGGCCACAAAAAGAGTTGCGACCGATAGTGTCCTGACCTGAAATATCAGTCGACATCCTCCTGGACAGTTTGTATGTTCCCTGAGAAAATGCGGGTCCCAAGGGGGCCATGGTCTCCAGTGGTCATGTGCCGGCTTATGGCCCGGAGTCGGTCAAGGCTTTATTTGAGGAAGTCCAAAGAGGGGCGGAAGGGTCCCTCACCACCAAAGATCAGCGACCCGATTAGAGGGCTGAAGAGCCTAAAGCGCTCTCTGTAGGTCACATTAAGGACCCCCGCAGATAGGACCGTGATGACAAACATCAGTGAGAGGGTCTTTTGTGCCAGTTGGGACCCCTGGATCAGAGAATCCCTCTGTTTCGGCCAGAGATCACCAACATCGAACAGTCAGCTCCGTGCCGGTCTAAGCTCATGGGGCCCATTTCCTAAGCAGGGACGGGACCGAGCCTGTGATTTGCATTGCTCGGAGTCCCTGCAACAATGCAGGGCTCCTGTATCGACCAGGGGCCCAGTGCCTAACAGGAACAGGAGGTTCTATATCAATAAGGGGCCTCGATTCGGTCGGAGGAACATTTGTTCGATAGAGACGATGCTGGGAGCCGAGTGACAGAGAACCTCTTGCGCCGGTCGGGCGCTCTGACAATAAAAGGAAACATTGTAACTTATGATAAGTGTTCACGTTGAGACACTTTGAAGGTCCTGCGCCGGTCAGCGTCCCTAGTGCCGAACGGTGGGCTCTCCAATCCAACTCCAGCATGGGCTTGTTACGATGTTGTTGCGCCATTAAGGGTCCCTACGTCGATCCGGGACCGTCTGCGCGAATCAGAAGGCCTCAAGCGTCAGGAAAGGACAAATGTGATATGGTGTATTCCTCTAAGGGCCTCTGGATCGACCAGGGGGTCCCACCCCGTGTCGCCAGAGTGGCAGCCGGAAGACACCCCGCGGTGGAGAGAAATGGACCTCCAGCCCCTGACCGAGACCACTAATATGCTCCCTAGTGTCCTACTCGCGCGCGGCTCCACCGCACGCGTTCTCACTGACAGGCCAGCACGTATGTAACAGATTACATGCATACAACATACGAGCTGCAAACGAGTCATTTCGCTTCGGCGGGACGAAAAACAAACTTTATCGAAATGAGGATTACATTTTACACCTCATCGGCCTTCGGATGAAAATCTTAACAAGTAATCCACTGAAATACTTCGTTGGTGTCAGAATGCATTTAAGGTACCTTTTTGAGACTTGCGAAACATTGTGTGTGCTTTTTTGGGAGGGAGGGGTGGGGGGGGGGGGGGGGGGGTAACAACAAAGGTGAGTTTTCGCCGTAACAAATCTGCGCGTTCCTCTTGACATATTTGGTTGGATACTGGCATGACCAAAACAAATACGATTGTCAAAGTTCAAGATGTACGAAATGGCGATGTTTATTCGAAGTTTCGCCACCGTTATCAGCTGCCGCGTAATCCCTGGTATCTCAAGCCCGAATGCAAGATAATTTTGCATTCCCGCGGTGCATAATATCTGGTGTCCCTTGGCTGTGTAGTCTGTGGAGCCCATATTCTTCATGGTTCACTAAAGTCACCTCGACAGAGTTCAAGGTTTTAGAGAAGAGTTCGAATTTTTGAATTTTGTGTACTCCATAACTATCAAAAAACACTAACTATCAAAAGACGACTATGCTGATTTCGCTGCACGTAAACTAACGATGGCTAGCCATTCGAGTCGTGTTATCATGCCTGTCTTCGTTGGTATTTATTACCTAAAACTAACTCGTTTTGCTAGTCTTCGCCAAAGTTCTAGCTCAGAATGGTAGGAATCGTGGCTCATCTGATCACTACGGGTTAATGCGTGCAGCTGGTGTGCCTATCTGGGGCGGGGGGGGGGCAAGGGTCCTCCTAGCACCCATTGCGTGTCGTCCTGTCCCCCGCCCTTACTGTCGGTGGTGACGTGACACCGCCGTCCCACAACCCGCGCGACAAACGTTCAGTCATGAACATGACCCTTGTAACGGCTCATGTCTGGGCTGGAGCTGAGGTCAAAGATTACTCGCATCGGGCTTTTAACATCTTGTTGTTGGGGTTTCCTTAGGTGCGGTTGCTGTGGGCACCTCGGTGTTGTGACCTGACCTGCCCCAAACTGTCAGGGACAACAACCAGCAGCCGAGGCTGGTGGCCTGGGTGGAAGCCGTTTACCGTGCAGTCGGAGGAGATGACTGTGGTGGAGGTGCAGAGGATAGTGGCGGCCGTTCTGCTGCTGGCGGTGCCATTTATATTATTCGCTCAGCCACTGGGTCTGGTCGAACGTCACCTGCCACCCGTCTGCCTGCAACACTTCGTGTTGCAGGTGCACGATTGTGGTGTTGTGCCCAGGTCGTGCTCGGTTTTCTCGGCTCGTGCCCAGGTCGTGCTTGGCTCGGCTGGTTCGTGCTCGGTTCGGAAGTGCTAATGTTCCCTTGTAATGCGCATTTCTGCAGTCTGAGCGGCACTTTATTTTGTATGGAATATTGTGCTGTGAGTGGTAGGTATCCTCTTCAGATCTCAGGTCCCCTAAGCAAAGAAGATTCCTCAAGTGACATAACCAGTCAGCAGTATTTTCAGCGAGATGTTGTCATAACCCGCCACAGCAAATGATAGTAAAGCATATATTATCGAATGCCGTCGAACAAATGTGAACATGACGTCAAACTCGCGCGGGACCAGCATGTGCCAGTACCCAGCGGCGGGACATTGCACCGCGACAGTGTAGCCTCCCATGAACGATGCAAAACACGCCCATCAGCACACGTGACAGTCGCGTGGCTACGGTGCCCGACGCAGCGAAAGCCTGTAGCCCCGCGGGTCATCACCGGCAGCCCCGCAGGTCATCACCGGCAGCCCCGCGGGTCATCACCGGCAGCCCCGCGGGTCATCACCGGCAGCCCCGCGGGTCATCACCGGCAGCCCCGCGGGTCATCACCGGCAGCCTGTCGAGCTTTACTGGCAGCCCCTTTCGCGAGCCAGCTCCACCTGACGCTTGCGGAGCTGCACGGTGCCAGGAGCCGCCGCCAGCACGTGCTCGTCGGTCAGCGGCAACAGCGACTGCTCCAGCTGGTCCTCCGTCATGCCGAACACGTACAGCGGCCTCCCTGCACACACACAGTGGGTAGCGACGGAGCCACGTTAACATAGAGCGACCGCCGACACCCGTAAAACGAATTGCCAGATGGGAACAGGGCCGCACAGGGACGGAAGTAACAGCTTAGACGGGTGCGCCGTAAAACCACGCCGTCAACCACCAGGATTGTCACGCCGGCAGAGTCAAACATCTCACATGCAGCCTGCCACAAATCGGGCAACAGCACACGCGTTCGGTGAAAACAGCTCACACAGCCGGCGACAGCACACGCGGTGAGTGAAGACAGTTCACACAGCCGGCGACAGCACACGCGGTCGGTGAAGACAGCTCACGCAGCCAGCGACAGCGGTGGCGGCCGAGTGCGCCGCACGCGGGCTTAGTAGCCACTGGCGCGAGGCAGCTCACCTGTGTCAAGGACGCAGTCGCAGCCATCAGTCATGGCGATTGGCTGCTGGACCCCGAGCCGCGTGGGCTTGCCCTCCAGAGCCCAGGAGGAGCGGTAATGGAGCGTGCCCTCCTCTGTCAGCGTCGCCACCAGCACCCGCCCGTACAGGCAGAGGTAGTGGCTGAAGTCCTCCTTGCGCAGCCTGTCCAGGCACATCGGACAGACGGGCCCTGCGGTGGAGCAGGCCACGACGTGTGAGCGACGCCGCAGCGGCGGCTCAGTGCGGTGTGAGCCAGTGCCAGAGTCGAGGACCGGGCGCCGCTCAGCGCCGGAAGGTGCGGTGCTTGAGCGCGGGTGACGTCGCTGGCAGTTAGTGGCGTCGAAGTAGTGATATAGCCGCTCCCCGAGTGGCGTGCGACGGGCAAAGCAGTGGGATGGGACACGGACAGAATAACATGTCGTCGGCTGGGGATAATGCTGCGGAACCCATGCGATTCAGTAATGACTTTGTTGACTACTGAAATCCGCGATATTCCAAAACGCATGCTTAGAACGTGAGTAGATAGTTTGCACCCTGACGATGCCACCACTTGCTCCCTAGTACCTGTCACACACTGAAGTCAGTCCAGGTGGCCGATTTTACCCTGCTATTTCACCGCTGGCTCCTCGCCACCACATTAATGACATGCTTCACGTCTCTCACCGTCGTCGTCCTGGTCGTCCTTCCTCTCCTCGTCCTCTCGGCCGTCGGCCGCCGGTGTGTCCTGCTCTGCACCTCTGAAGCCGAGGGGCGGCGCCGCCAGACGAGGGGCCACGCCCTCCGGGCCCTCCGGCAGCTGCGGTCTGTCGTCCCGTAGGAAGAAGCCGCGGAACTCGGACCCGGCTGACAATGGACCGGGTTGGCTGTGAGGCACGAGCGTCGACTGCACGTACCGACAGGAGAGCTCGTCCGGACCGGGTTGCCGTGTACACGCGGTGACCAAGACACTGGAGCTGTCGACTGCCTTCGTCATCACCGTTTTGAGAAGTCTCGTCTAGCGGCCGCACTCATGACCGATACGCTGCGAAGCAGACAGCTCGTGCAACAGACAGTGAGAGCTTTTAGGCGAGAAACAGCGTGCGGCGGGCGGCAGCGGAAGCGGTGCCGACCAACTCACCGCTCAGATGATAGCTGCTCGCCGGCAACCTGGACTGCCACGGCTTGATCAGCTCCGGTAATAACTGCCTGTTCGGCGAACACGCCTCCAGCCACATTCCAGATCCCAATGTGCACGCAAGCGGCGTGCGATGTTCATCTTTACCGTAGTTGGCCATCCCCGGTCTACGTGGACGACACTCGTCCACCAGATTCACGAGAACAAACAGCCAGCTTGCCCGGTATTACAGTGGTCCTCATTTTCTAGCACGCGAATCCACATAAACCGGCAGAGAAACATGCAGGACTATCGGCGCAGGCTGATAGGACATGGCCGTATTAATAGCCGTCATGCTGAAGTAGACCCCATGCAACGAAGGCGACGGGCTGAGCAATGTAGCTTGTCACGCACAAAGATCAACGCCAGGCGCGTGCCTGTTTCAAGATAACCCAGTGAGGGCATTGGCAGGGGGGCCAGCCTGGCGCGGACCTATCATTTGCTCAGCCTCGCAGGAAACATCGTCGTATTCAACGTGTAAAGGCCTCGAGGCAGGCGGCGGCACTGCACTCTGCCGCAGCATAGTCGACAATAAAGTGCTACTGACAGCCATTGTTGCATTTATTGTCGATGTTACAGCGAGTAAACGTCTCCGACTATATATCAATCGACCGGGTTGTGCACAAAGTTCACTGAAAAGCGTGATTCAGCACACGGCAGAGATGCCGAGTGAAGTGACAGCTCAAAGCGCAAGCAAAGCGTAGCGGCTCAACAGCTGATAACGCGATATCCAGCAGCGTGATTGAGGTAACTTCACTCAGCTCAGTCTCATCTATATCCTTCATGGTATGATTACCAAAGAACAAACCGGACAAAACATTTACAAACAGAACATCGTGGCGACCGGCCGGCATTGTAAGGAGTCAAAAGCTCGTGTCCATTCAAAGACGTGTGGTGCTCGGGTGGTAACCAATAGCGTCCATAACCGTTCTTAGCACCAAACCGCGATCACACTGACAGGGACGCGCGAGACGCAGCTAGAAACCCTCGATGCCATCGATGTCTCATTAATGACACAACCCATATGAAAAAAAATTACAGAAGACTGCTGTCTGTGTCTTCCCCAATAATCACAAGCGTCCTCAGTCCTTGTCGTTGGCAGACAGCGCGTCCTACTGAGCTCAGCAGGGCAGTGCGGCACAGGCAGCGTTACCTCCTTGCTGGTCGTTCTCGAACACAGGCAGTGGAACCGGGTCAATGGGCCACGGTAGAACTGTGTCGCAGTTGACGTCCAGGGCGTACGACTGAAGGGACCCAAAAGCAATTCAGTTGCGCCATACAGTATCGTCGGACGACAGAGCACACTTTCGATCAACCAACTTCGACAGCCGACCGCAGAAAGAAGAGCAGAGCCATGATTCTATGCTCGTAAATACGTCTTGCTGTGCAATTATTCGGACCACACGCGTAGAGAAAATATATTCAGGTGATATGTGGCTAGATGAAAGGTTTTGATTTATCAGTCTGAAAACAAACTGCATAGTTCTAACGTGTTTTGCATAGTTTGCAGCCTGATGCAGATTGATGCCGTTTGCGTAAGGGTTTTTTTCTCACCGTGCTCCGGGCGAACTCCGTCTGGTAATAATCATATACGCTGGCCACCGCCCTTTTGGCATCTTCCACCTCCTGCTCCCGCTGTACGATGATGCTGAAACAGCGCTCCTTTCCATCCAGCGAGTCGAAGTAGAAGACCACCTTGTTGTTGTTGACCTCCCAGCGCTTCAGACCTGAATGGAGCATGTTTCCGGTCGTCAGAAAACATGATAAGCCTCCGAAACGGTAGGTAACTCCTACAGCTTATCTAAAGAGCCTGGCAACTCAGATCAAACCCCATGTCATGTTGTTTCATGTGTCAATAATTGCTAGACAAAGAATGTATTCCTAGTGTTGGCAGAACTAATTCAAATTAGACGACCTGCTCGTTAAAAACCGACTACTCAGATCTGACGACCTGCTAGTGGAAATAGACAACTCAGATCAGACAATCTGCTAGTTAAAACAGACCACTCTTATTCGACGAACTGCTGGTGAAAACCGAAAACCCAGATCTAGCGACCTGTCTGTGAAAACAGGCAATTGTGGCAACGGCAAGACATATGTCTACTATATGCCACCAAATGCAACTTACCCAACTCGACGTTCTGCTTGAGGTCATTCAGACTTCCCTTGTTGGGAATGAACCCGCTGACCATGTCCAACTCGACCACAGCCATATTGGTTTCGCTATCCTCCTTCAGGTAGCTGACGCAGATGTCTTAAAGAGCACAACATTGTTCTGTTATCATGACAACCAGGCAGGCATGCTGTCATGTGTAAAGCCTGTTGAGCGAGAGATGCGTTCGAGCACTTTTTAATTGGATTAGGCACTGCAGTGTCTTCTGATGCTTTCACAGAACAGGAACACTGCAAGCTGGTCAAGATCCTCCTCCCATGACATTCCCTCGCATCGCACTACATATTTAAGACCAAACCGAGCAGAGGCTGACGAGTGGTCTGATGACCAGGTGAGACAGGAGACAGCTAGAGAAGTCAATAGGCGCGTCACTCGTCTCACCTATGGTATGCTTCAGACACTCCCGCTGGTTCATTTTGGGCTTGGCAGCCACGTTGATCGTCAGTGCGTCGTTTGGATTGGCTGTATACACGTTGTATTTCAGCGAAGCCTGGCGAAACAACCGGCTGTGTTACTTGTCATGCGCGTGGTGGACGTACGTCGTCATGCATTGCTGGAGCTAATTTGTATGGTGCAGCAGAAAAGGGCATGTCTCGTGGTTCGCATTCCCCGCGTGTTATCATTGAACTGAAGGTCATTTACTCAGGCTCTCGGTGAATCACATCAGCCGTCGAACAGCTGACGCGATAACGCTCTAAAGAACACGGTGTTCAGCCCTCACACAGTTTAGTGACATACATTCTCAGCAGATGCATTCGAGGCTGGCTCATGCTGTACCTCCTCACTGAAAATGGACAACTGGTGATCCGGAAGAATGGGGCATAGTTTCGCAACATTAGTTGAGGGGAGGCGCAGGCCACCCCCCCCCCCCTTTTTCAACGGAAAAGCAAACTAACGCCCTGCATGGACGCCTTACAGCCTATCATGGCACGAACGGAACCGGAATGAGTGACACGTCTGGCACCTAGACCGCACTGCCGGGCGTGCATTCCGATGCCGGCTCTGATGAGAAATAGGGTACTCTGGGCACCATACTGAACTTCCAGTTGCAGTGTGACCGCTTTAGTGCACATCATTTATCAGAAAGTTCCTACTTGCGGGTATGCCAGCAACTGCAACAGTATGCTTAGCACAAGCCAGCAGCACAGATGCTCTGCCTTCCTCTCCCATTCCTCTCTCTCCTCTCTCTCTCTACTCTCATCCTCTCTCTCTCTCTCTCTCTCCTCTCTCCTCTCTCTCTCTCTCTCTCTCTCTCTCTCTCTCTCTCTCTCGCTCTCTCTCTCTCTCTCTTCTCTCTCTCTCTCTCTCTCTCCTCTCTCTCTCTCTCCTCTCTCTCTTCTCTCCGCTCTCTCTCTCTCCCCTCTCTCGCTCTCTCCCTCTCTCTCTCTCTCTCCTCTCCTCTCATCTCGTCCTCCCTCCTCTCTCCTCTCCTCTCTCTC